CGGAAGATTGCATCGAAAGAGTACCTACAAATGAGTTTTTATGAATTAAGTCAGTGCGGGAATCTGGGTCACTCTCTTATATATCTAATGGCTTTACGCCCTTATAAGATACTAGCTTTGCCCGCGGCTCCACCCGCGTTCAGATGACCAAAAACCAAATTCTCAAGTTTTACATATTAGTATACTCTTACATTGCAGTTTTTGTATTTTTCTCAGAAATGAAATATTTTCCCGCAGTAAAAAGTATCCTGTATGTTGACCCGGATAACCAGCTATCATCATACCAAATTTCATCAAAATCTATCCAGTGGTTTTCCCGTGATGCGGTAACAGACAGACAGACAGACAGACAGACAAAAATTCTAAAAACTATAGATTCGGCCTCTGTATCGATAATAAAGTCTATTTCAATGAGATTTTCTAAAAAAAACATTTAATGTACAGATTCGGCTTAGTTACAATTTTATTATATGTATAGATTTTATTAAAAAACAAGTAAATATGATTTTTAAACACATTTTTATCAACTTTAAGTAATTATTTACGTATTACTTGTAATATTTCAAACTCGTGCTGTGATACTTTGCCATATAACAATAATTTGGGGACGGCCTTCCTTCATTGCGAGAGGGATCAGGCCATAGTCCACCTTATTGGCCAAGTGCAGGTTGGTGGACTTCACACATCATCTAAGGGATACTTGGTTTCAAAGACAAGCAGAAGAAAGTTCCTCACGATATTTTCCTTCACCGTAAAAGCAAGCATGTTGAAAATGAATCGTACTAAAATCCTCATAGGTGCTTCCAGGTTTGAACCCGCACCACATGGTCTTCTAAAAAACCGCGAAACCAATAGGCTATTCAATCTTAGTGTCAAAATAATAAAAAATTAGATAACAAGTCATGGCAAATATAGATCATGGAGTTCAACCTTGTAAGCCATACGAAAGGTATTCTGATCGTGCTAAACTAAAAAACTGCTAAGTGGATGTAATGACCATAAAATTGTTTATGTCGGTTTATTTGTTCCGAGCGACTTGTCACAAATCTATGTTAGCAATATTTTTTTTAATTTACTTGTTATCACTTTTAGTTAGTGTCGGTTTGACATGAAAAGTTACAAAAAAATATATATTATCACTACTGTCATGAATGAAAAGTTTGTTTGTGTGTATATGTTACACAATACACATAAACTTTAAATAAGTGGTTAACTTTAAGTCACTAAAAGGTAATCTGTACTTGTCCAGCTACAATTATAAATGCGAATTAATTGTTGATTAAAATAGATAGAATAACATCAAAATTACTTTAGAAATTGCAGCCTTGACCTATTCATTATAAAAAATAACACGAAAATCGGTTCAGAATTGACGAAGTTTGTTTCTTTTAACAAAAAAAACCTATCCCACGGGAACCGTACATTTTTCCGGGATAAAAATTAACTTATGTGTTATTCTGATGTATGAGCTACACATACATTATTGTAAAGTTTCATAAAAATCCATTTAGCAGTTTTTGCGTTAAAGAGTAAAAAACATCCATACATACTCCCAAACTTTCGCATTTATAATATTAGTAGGATAAAATATACATATATGTGCTAGTTTTTGCCCACGGCTTTATTCTTCGGCGGGACGGGAAAGGAGTCAAAAGTAGCATATACCAGTCCCCAGGATGCAATCTATGTCCTTGTCAAATTTTCACCGAAATTTGTTCAGCGGTTTAAGCGTGAAAAGCGTGTTAGATTTTTTGTCTCAACTTAAATTGGAAACAGATGGAAAATTTTTAATGTTATTTTGGAAAAAAAGATATATAATGTGAGGAGAGTATTATTTGAAAAATAAAAACAAAGAAAACCTTTACTTTTAAAATATTTAAAAACTAGCATTACTCGCGGCTCCGCCCGCGTTCAGATGACCAAAAACCAAATTCTTAGGTTTTACATATTAGTATACTCTTACATTGCAGTTTTTGAATATTTTTTTTCAGAAATGAGATATTTTCCCGCGGTATAAAGTATCCTATGTGTTGACCCGGAAACCAGCTATCACCATACCAAATTTCATCAAAATCCCTCCAGTGGTTTTTCTGTGATGCGGTAACAGACAGACAGACAAAATTCTAAAAACTACAGATTCGGCATCTGTATAGATAATAATGTCTATTTCAATAAGATTTTCCAAAAAATATTTAATGTACAGATTCGGCTTAGTTACAATTTTATTATATGTATAGATAGATTAAATAAAACAAACTATTTGCAATTCATTTCAACGACTATAGCTCCATTATCCTCGTATGGAACAAAATAATAATTATAATAATAAGAAACGTATATGAAAATATTTGTATGACATCATGCATGACGTCAGTGTGTGAGCCATACATAAATATGTAGCTTATGTGCCATACTTAGGTACGTTCCGATGGTAAGTTATAGTTCAAGGTGATATTACTTTTTAATAAGTTGAATCTATAGTCACAATGATGATGATACTCTCCTAGCCGATTCCGGCCACGGCGGCCAATCTCATTGAGACTAGCCAACTGCGCAGGAGATATTATAGTGCAGCGCGTGTGAGAGAGAGCGCAGACACAACGTGCACTCTCTATCCCTGTCACTCTCATACTCCGGTAGGACGATTGCTCGACACGACCAGTGAGAGTTAAGGCCCAGGACCGACAGCTTTACGTGCTCTCCGAGGCACGGGGGTGAAACACCGCTAACTTCCTAACTCCGGGCTGTTACTGAAGCTTAATATACAGAAAGACTTAATAACTAAACTTGGCCCGACCCGGGACTCGAACCCAGGACCTCCGGGTGTGCTGCCGTACATGCTTGCCACTACATTAGCGGGGCAGTTAGAATAATGAATCTATAGTAATATTATAAAGAGGCAGAGTTTGTGTGTTTGTACGTACTAATATCAGGAATTACTAATCCAATTTGAAAAATTCTTTTTGCATTAGATAGCCCGTTCATTGTAGAATGTTTATAGGCTATATATAATATTGTATATTGTCTATCTATTCCCCACTAACTGTTAAACCGTACCTAGAGACGAACACGAGCGAAGAGAGGGTGATTCGCTCGTATTATATGTAGTGTAAGAGGCTATATGAAAAGCCTTTAAATCGTATATGTCAAGCGTAAGTTGACTATATGGGTTATGGTACCTTAACCCTTTTAGGGATCCGTACCCGAAGGGTGCCAACGAAACCCTAATTCTAAGCCTCCGCTGTCCGTCTGTCTGTCAGAGGGCTGTACCTAATGAACCGTAATAGGTAGAGATTTGAAATTTTCACTGAGTGTGTATTTCTATTATTGCCGCTACAGCAAATAATAGAAAAACCAAGATGACGAATTTCAAAAAGGCATTAATTAAAAATAATCGATTATGGTACATAAATAATAATACTAGTTGCAATACGCGACAAGTAAAACTTAATTTAAAATAAAGGCGCGCGCGTCGAGCGACAATGTTTTTGTTCTGCCAATAGTCGAGAAAATTGAATTTTTATAAGCCCATAAAATGGTCGGAATGTATAAAATATATATTCATATTGAGGCTCGTAATGGCGTAGCGGTACTAACTGATTTTGACTGATGTATCAGCATTGGTGTGGGTTTGAGTCAGCATAGGGTAAATGTTAAAATTATATAGTAAATATATACATACGTTTTGACGGTTAGTTTAGTATTAAAAAAAACATTCGAATTTCTCGACTTTTCTGTACTATAATATGCGTATATTATACATATAAACCTTCCTCTTGAATCATTCTATCTATTAAAAAAACCGCATCAAAATCCGTTGCGTAATTTTAAAGTTATAAGCATACATACGGACAGACAGACAGCGGGGAGTGACTTTGTTTTATACTATGTAGTGATTACTCAAGAAAGAGGAGTATTTATTTCAAAAATAATTAATAATTAAATAATCGATTAGAATATCAATGTTTTCCATATAAATGCCATCAAATTTCAAATTTAAAATCGAATATTTGTACTTTTGTAGGAACTAAATTACAGTAATTTTTCCTAGTGAGCACCAAAGCATTGCCTATGTAGAAAAACGCCATTAAATCGCAGCTCTTTCTTTATTAATCATACATACATTCAGTCAGTCATTCAGTCAGTCAGTCAGTCATTCAGTCATTCAGTTAATCGGTCAATAAGGACAGTATCTAAGTATTCCTGCCAACGTGTGTCCACCTTTGCATTGCAGATGGTAGGCGTAAATATATTTCTCTAGGTAAAAAAGGTACCAAAGTATAATTTTACTATGATAGATCAATGCAGAATTTTCCTTAATAAACAAACCTAAACAAATCATAATTTCCAACCAATCGACGAGCAGTAGATACGCCTACAACTACAAACTGACGCGACAGTGTTAATAATAAAGTATTACACAAAATAATCTCGATGACAAATACGCTTTTGTTTTTCCTACAATTGCGAATACACTGGTTACGATTAAAAATATATATATATTATAACCGTATGTCCGTTTGTCTGCACTCGTAACTCAGAAATAATATAATTTAAAATTATAAAATACCACCAATTTCCGTAATTTATCACTTAATTTTTGGTTCACTCAGACCCTTGTTTTTATAAGGTAATATCTAATCAGCTGAACTGATTTAGATGAAAATTTGTATGAAGATATCTTGAGACTTTTAACCCGGAAACAACCCTTTAAGGGGGTGAAATGGGAGGTGGAAGTTTGTATGGGGAATCAATCATTTCACAAGTAAAAAATATAAAACTAACCATACCTATAAAAAGGTAAAGTTTGTGAGTTTGTGACGTTGTAGGATGTAGTCTCTGTATCTACTGAACCGATTTAGATGAAATTTGGTAAGAACATAGTTTGAGACCCTTGGAAGGACATAGGATACTTTTTATCCCGGAAATCAACTCTTAAGCGTATGAATATGGGGATGAAAGTTTGTGTGGGGCATCAAATCATATAGAATAAAATTTACCTTCTGCAAAAACGAGTTGACCCATTTCGTGAAGGTCTTCTTCTGTATGTGCAGACGCTCCTCCTGCAGCGCCTTGATGCGGCCCTGCTCGAACTTGAGCGCGTCCTCGCGCTGCGTCATGTTGGTACGCTGCTGCACTGCCGCCGCGTACCCGCCCGGCTCATACTGCGGCCCTGCTTGAGGAAACGGAAATATGTAAGTAAAATTATACTGTCTTCTATGATTTAAAAGACCTAGTCCAAATTATTTCAACACCGGCTTACCCTCACGCCTTTCGTTTTTATAAAATATATACAGCAGCGCCATTTTATTATTAAAATAGCCTATGTATTGCTCCAGTTCATTGTCTATATGTGTATTAAATTTCATCAAAAACCGTTCGGCCTTTTCAGCGTGTAGAAGTAACAAACATACACACACAAATAAAAAAATATCGTATGTTTAATAATAAAGTGATATAGTTATTTGCTAAGGCATAAGCTGCTAAAAATATTACTACAACTTTTGGATCTTTGGAAGGTTCTACCTAAAAAATTAACATTCCTGACATTTTTTAAAACAATTTTACACTAAGAATATCTAAAATATATGGAATAATTTGAATAAGTTATTTTAAATCTAACAATATAACAGCTGAATTCTTCATCATAAATATGTAAAGAATTTCATCTATCTCTAACTTTGTAAACGCCTCATAAGTTGGTTAGCTACGTCTACTTAGACCACCTGACACAACTAATATTCATGATCAAAGGAATCAATGGATATTTATTTATGTTATGTAAGTTTAGTGGATAAAGCGACGCAGGTGTGGGTTCGATTTCTTTCTGATTTAACTTTCAAATCTAATATTTTCTACAGAATATATGTGTATGTAAAAACAACATCCTCTAAAAAATTTTTGACTATATCGTCAGGCCAATGCTACGATCATAGATCAAAAAAGTACTAGATACACAATCCCATACAAAAATTCTCTTAAAACTGTCACCGATTGTGTTTAGGTAATTGTTCTAGTTGAAATAAATATACAACAATGTAAATTGAACCTTAAATGCAAGGCTTAAAGTTGTTTTTACAAAAAATAAATTAAATTAAAAGCGCGCTCAAATGTTCAAGTGAGCGCACATTCGGTGAGGACATTTTTTGTCGCTGATTGTGTATCTAGTACTTTTTTGATCGATGGCTATGATACCAGAATATTACATGGTTACCATACCATCAAATTAAAATATTTTTGACTTGACCCTATCCCATCTACGTAAAGTCAGCACACGGTACGTCCCCTCCATACGCTCCCATCGTTTGTCTCATTTACATGTTCCTTGTTCAGGATGACCATAACCTTTTGATTTGCATAAGATATCCTTATTTACATCATATACATACCTAGTACATATTATAAGCTTTTCTATTTACTTTTTATATATTAAAAATTATTATTCTATGCGAATGTATCTAATCTTTCAGTTTTATAATTTCTACTTCAATTATTAAAATCATTGATAAACGATCTTCTTCTTCTCCCCATTTCCCAATCACTTGGGGTCGGCGCAGTACATCCTCTGTACTGCTGATAGGATTTGGCAAAAGTTTTACGACCGGCCGCCTCACTCCTGCCTGACGTCAACCTGCCTTGGGAATGCTATTGTCTCTCTTTGTCTGAATGGTGTCGCGGAAGTCTTATAATTATTATGCACTTTCGAATTTGTTGTCTTATAAAACATTTTTTATACTATTAATTAAATTTTTAATATTATTTTCGGATATATTTTAAAATAAATTTTGATTACACCATAAATTTTATTTAAATAAATAAAAAACATAAATAAATATATAAAAAAAAATTGATAAACGAACTAATTAAAGTTTAGAGTTAAAATTGTTCTTTTACACCCATACATGGTGTATACCCCATAAATATTTACCATATCGTCTTGCAGGTTGGTAGTCCTGGTACGAGTGTATGCTGACGTTGCTCAACTGCCTCTGCATCGCGTCATTAGCACTGTTCTTTTTTAATTTAGTTTTTTGGCACTATTGACTATTTTTGGTGAAACTTTTACAAGAAATAGTAGAATTTCTATACTTAATAGCTGTTTTAGACACCAGTTCTTGTGAGGTTCTTAAAAGAGATTGAAATGTTATTTAAAATGCTGTTTTTTTGTATGAACGCGCTAACATTTAGTGCTAAAAGTCCGATTTGAAAAATATATGTGTACCTGTGACTTAATACCTCATTATGACCCTAAAAATCATTTTTTTTGTATATATTATGTATATATACTACGCAAGTGGTGTCGCGGGATATTATAAGGCTTTATTGATAACTAGCGACTCACCCTCGCTTCGCTCGGGTTCGTCCCTAGCTTGCTTTCCCATACAAAATTTTATTCCCATTTTCACCCCCTTAAGGGATGATTTCCGGGATAAAAAGTATCCTTTGTCCGTCTCTGGGTTCTAAGCTACCTCCCCGCCAATTTTCAGCCAAATCGGTTCAGCCGTTCTGGAGTTATAAATAGTGTAACTAACACGACTTTCTTTTATATATATAAGATATTCATGTTTCAATAGATAAGATAATTTTTTTATAAATATTAACTAAAATGTTGATATCAAAGTTTCTGCAATCCGATGTAGAAAGAAATTTTGAACAAAAAATTTCCTTATTCTAACAGCTGAAGCATACATTTCCAATTTTTTACTACGAAACTAGCGACTCGCCCTCACTCCGCTCGGTTTCGTACCTAGTTATATTTTAACGTTTAGTACTGATTTCTCAGAGATGAGATATTTATAGTTTATAGAAAGTGTTTAGAATTTTTGTTTGTCTGTCTGGGAACGCATCACGAGAAAATCACTGCACAGATTTTGATGAAATTTGGTATGATTGTAGCTGGTTATTCGGGTCAATATATAGGATATTTTTTACTGCGGCAAAGTATCTCGATCTCTGAGAAATCTATCCAAAACGTTAAAACGTAACGAGGGACGAACCCGAGCAGAGCGAGGTTGAGTCGCTAGTATTATATCCAAATAAAAAAATCTATTCATTCTTTATACATAAACGTTTCGTATATTTTCAAGCAATCATTTTTTAATTTTAAAAGCTATCTCGCCCACATAATTGTTATAAAATATAATAAAATTAATTAAAAGTATGGAAACAACGTTAAGTAACGGTATTGGGGGTCAATACACCATGGACCATGGCTTCAAACATAGCGCACAAGTGCTTACCAGTGCGAGCTATTACTGACACACTGCAGTGACCTATGGGATTTAGATGGATGGTGTTATACTTATGGAGAGCATAGGTTCGATTACCGCTTATATAAAAATCTTATTAGATCAATTTTATATAAGGAGATTGATAAGTGCTTAATATATATTTTTTTCATATTATAATTATTAATTATATAAGCAAAACTAAATAGTCAAAATGATTATTTTTATCCGAATATGTTAATTTTCAACTGACATCTAAAAAGGTTCTATGTCCATCTGTAGTTTTTTTTTTAATTTATGATTCGGAATACATATATTATACCTTAAAGTAGATCCCATATATGTACATATATGTATATTTAAAAAAAAAGAGTGCGTGTACCTTTTACGCGCGGTTGAAGAAAAACTTCTTTGGAGCTATGGCGGATACCGCAATTAAATTAAAACAAATCAAAATATAAATATAAATTTTTTTTTTTATAAAATTATTAATAACGTGGGTTTTAGGATACCAGCAATAAAACCGCCCCACCACTATCACCTTAATTTAATTTTAATCATTTATTTCAGGCAATATTTACAAAAAGATGTTAAATATATAAACATAGGCCCATAATATATAAACTTTAAAAATTATTTATTTATAGTTATAGTTTATTAATTTTTCAATAGTTTATTACATATTTGCCATTTGTATCCCTTTTTCAAACTAAAACTTTCTCATCACTCTGTCCTTTTCACTCATTCTTTCTTTCATTCACACTTCACACATTAGTCATAATAGCTTCTATTTAATTTATGCACATTCATCCCACAGTAATAAATAAATATTCATTTCTATATATAATATTCATAACTATAATAAAATTATTGATAATATATATTTATATTTATATAATAAATAATAATTATTATAAAAATATAAATGTATAGCGCGTAGTAATATACCCGCCGCACCTAACGTCCCTATTCGCCCTTGTCCCCCGCGACGCTCCCCGCGTTTCCGTGCGCCTGACGGCGCCCGCGCTTCCACCCCGGCAGTGAGCCAGTAACCGCGTTACGTTTTACACGCGCCCCGCCGACGTACGCCACTCATTCAACTCGTGACCATTGATTCCTTTAATAATTTGTTAATTATTATACTTAAACACTATTCATCCTGGAAGTCGAAATACATATGTGTGGATCCAGTACATGAGTTTTAATGATTGCGCCCTATAAATGTATTTTTTTTAATTATTAATAATAAATTTGACTCATTTCCATAATACACTTTTTTTTTAATGCATTGACTTACCCCTCGGTAACGTCTAAACAAGATTTAACTACCTACTTCAAAAAAAAATTATTTTTTTAAATTTTTTTTTATTTAATCCTTTATTACACCAAAAATAAAAATACAATATATATGAATATATAACTTTACAAATATTAGTGTAAAGGCGGCCTTATCACTAAAGTGATCTCTTCCAGGCAACCTATATTATAAAGAAACTATTTATATAATTAATATTAAACTAAACAAAAATTAAAATCTATTGATAAATAGAAGATGAAAAGGTACTGAATTGTTTTGTCTGTCTATTTATCTATACTAATATTATAAAGAGATAAAGTTTGTGAGTTTGTGACGTTGTAGGGGGTAATCTCTGGATCTACTGAACCGATTTAGATGAAATTTGGTAAGAAGATAGTTTGATACCCTAGGAAGGACATAGGATACTCTTTATCCCGGTAATCATTCCTTAATGGGTGAAAATGGGGTTGAAAGTTTGTATTGGGAATCAAGCTAGGGACGAACCCGAGCGAAGCAAGGGTGAGTCGCTAGTACATAGATAAAACACTTTCGCGGCGTCGCTCGAGTAGAAGATTTAATTACGATCAAAACAATATTTGTAAAACAAGAATCCGAGTTATCTCCATTTCTAATTTCACTCAAACCATTGAGCTGAAGCAATAAAAAGTGACAGACACTCGCAAGCTATTGGCATTTTAAATGAAACTATCTTTTCGGATTTTGTCGCGGTTTCACTACATATTACAAATTCCCCCGATGTGTCTGTCTGTTTGGATGCGATAAACTCAAAAACTACCAAACGGATTTTCATACGGTTTTCACCAACAGATGAGAGTGACTCACGAGGAACGTTTGGGTGTATTTTATTAAAATTTTGTGTAAATTGGCTGAAATATGACGATGTTTGTTGAAAATGTCGTAACAATGATGTCGACTGGGAGCTTAATTGGTGTGCGTCGCGTAAACTAATAAAGTTATATGAAAACAATATATTACAGAAATATTCTCCTTAAAAAGATGTTCCTATAAAACTGTAGCAACGCTATGTGAACGTACCTAGGGAATCAGTAAGTCACTAGTTTATACTAATATTATAAAGAGGAAAGATTAAATTTTTTGTTTGTTTGTTTGTACCGAAAGGCGTCGAAACTACTGAACGGATTTAGATGAAAGGTAAGAAGATAGTTTGAGTCCTTGGGAAGGACAGGATAGTTTTTATCCCGGAAATCATCCATTAGTGGGGTGAGAATGGGGATGAAAGTCTGTATGGGGTAGTAAGCTAGGGACAAACCCGAGCCAAGCGAGGGTGAATCGCTAGTATTATATTCATTACATACATTCTGCCACAATAAAATATTGGGTATTTTTGTTAAGTAAAGTAAGTCTTTCAATTATATTTCCCAAAAAATATTTAATGTACAGATTCGACTTGGTTAGAATTTTATTATATGTATTATACTAATATATATAAATAAAATAAATGTTTCTTCGTATGTCTGTCCTGTATACGTGCAAAACAGATAATAATTTAATTTGTCCATATACCTTATAATTGTGAAGCTGTTACATTCATCATATTGCTATCCCATTCACTCTTTAAGTCCAGTTTGCTCACGTACTTGAGCACTATCACTGCGCCCACGCATGGCTAGTTTCATTGTTTAGACGCCATATCCGAAAGTCGGAAATACATTGATAAGGATTGTCTTTTTGTTTTATTTCATCTATATTACTAATATTATAAAGAGGCAGAGTTTGTTTGTTTGTCAGTAATATAACATATATAATATAATCTATCTGTTCCATACTAACAGTTAAAACGTATCTAGCGACGAACACTTACACGAGCGAAGCGAGGGTGAGCCGCTAGTTCATAATAAAAATAGGGGTTGAAACTATATTAAATAATAGATTATGGGTTTACAGCCCATAAGAGTTCTAAAAACATCTATTAAATAAGGTCCAAAATGTCGATATATCTATATTAGCATCGTCTGCAGCTTCAAGCGTGTTTTATTATATAATTTTCTTAATAAATAAGCTAAAAATTAAAAAAATAATAATTCAAATCAGACTGGTAGTTCCAGAGATTAGCGCATTCCAACACACTCTCAATCTTTATAATATACTAGCGACTAGCGATATTCTCTTGCTTCGCTTTACAGGTAAAAGGTTTAGGGACGTATACAGGACAGACATACGAAGAAACATATATTTTATTTATATAGATTCGTATAGATATTGATGTACAGACGTACAGGTGCACATATTTTATTAGTCTTAGCCGCCAGCAGACAAAAAATATTTGTTTACATACACCGAGTGGGCAGACGAGGTGAGTGACCCGTGCCCACGATATCTCAATGCATGCGTCTCGCGGGTAATGTTATTAATAATTATCTACGGTTGTGGTACAAGTAGAAATTATCTACACCGTCTGTTTATCATTAGTCTTTAAGGTTTCATGGTC